AGAGCAGATGCAGGCGAACGCAGATAAACAAATTCGAACGCATATAAAAACAATAGCGTGTGTAAAAGTAACACATTTACAGTACGAAGAGAATAACAGATGTTTCTTACGCAACAAGAGTTCACCAACAAAGTCAAAACCGCTTTTATAACACCTGAAGAGGATTTGTTATTGAGTCTGAAACGACGTACGAATAAATAAAAGACCTTGACCCTACCTGGTTGACCCGTAAACTACGACACACATCCTATGACGTGAAGGCTATTTTTTAAGCTTGGCGGCCTGTATTTCGCTCCCATATATCTTGAAATGACGTTAGGCAACTCAGGCAGCTTCACTTCATATTTTTTTTTGTATGCTCTCCATGCAATCTTTCATTTAATAACCGATAAAAAAGAAAAAAACTTCTTTTTTCTATATCGATAATTGCCCGCCACAGGTATGACCGCCGGAGCCCTATTGCGTCATTTACGGGTCAAAGAGGCAAAGAAACTCATCAAATCTCCGCCAAACCCACCTGTACATTTGCGCTGCGTCTCACTGGCGTCGGACAGGGCAGCAGCTGTCTCCGTCCCCGCCTTCAGCTCGTGTATTCCGAAGTCCGTTATCTTCACCACCCAGCGGGAGTCCACGAGGCAGTTGGACGTCTTCAGGTTACCGTGGGACTTCACAGGAGAGTCGTGCAGGTACACCATCCCCTGTGAGGGAGGAAGGCATGGCGGTAGTTGGTGATGGACGGGTGGTTGTGGATATTTTGTTTTATCGGGGTTTCGGTTTGGCGATTGTGTTATTGTTTGGGTTAAGGTGGGTTGTTCTGACGTTCTTGTAAGATGGTGGGTAAGTTGGTGTGTTGTTAGGACATGCCCGGAGGTTGTTCTTTGTGACTGTATGTTCGTTAGTTCCGTTTTTATTGAGAGGTATTTAAGTGTGTTATCATGCTTGCGGGTAGGATAATATGTTTCTGTAACCTCGTGGTTTAGGCTGCTGTATTGACGTTGTATATATGTGGTCAGGTTACTGTGTTCTTATTGTAAACCTGCAGTTTCGTGATTGGGTATATGTGCAGGTAAACTGACGAGTTGTCATTGTTATTATCGCATATACATCTTAAACATCTTTTCCAATGAACAGTGATATATGGATGGAGATGTTACTGCCAAAAGATATTACAGAAAAAAAAACATTAAAGGCTATTGTATATTAAAACGCTATACTAATGATTTCAATATATACTGTTACAGAAACTAATACGCATATTCTTTCTACAGCTGCTATAAGTGTTTTATCTCCCCTGTCCTTTAATTACAACCAATTCTGTTACACTGAATCTTATGCTGCCACAATCACTCCTCATCATTGCTGACAATTCGGTTAATATTGATGCTGCCGATGCTGATATCTACTACTTATATCACAACTACTAACATCACTCCATTACCACTAATATAAATAGCATTTCTGCTATTATCATCCTGTAACCCCTGCACTGTTACTACAACTTCTGCTGCTATTAATTTCATTGTTGCTTCTGCTGCACTAATTCCACTGCTACTGCTAGACCTAATCTAGATATGCTACAGTGAATGATATATGTTGTAATAAACTAAATATACTGCAATAGAGTAAATAAACTACCACAAAGTAAATAAACTGCTATGAAGTAAATACATAGCAACACACAAATCATACTGCTATAAAGTATTTAACTGCAATAAATTAGAGACAATCATACGCGGAATATACGGCACTGCATTAAATATACTACAACAACCATAACACTTCCCTCTACCACCATGGCAACCAACTAAAACAACCGTCATCAATACACGAACCCCTTAATAAAAACGATACCAATACTACAACCCAGTCAACCACAACATTGACGAGGCTAAAATCAGAGTGGTTCTTGCAACAAGAGCAACTAATTTCCATGTTGAAGCGCAGGTGGTTTGCCTTCGTATTGGCTAAAAGATCTTTTATTGCAAGCCCGAAGCACAACAGCTGTGTCGTTCCCTTGGCAGGATTTGCAACAAAAGAGAAACAGCGAAGGTGTTGTATTGACAGAAAGACTGAGATTCTTGGAAGTCTTGTAAATAGGAAAGAAAGAAAGAAAGAAAAATGGATAGGGTATTTTTTTCTTTAAGATGTTTGTATTGAAGATAAGGAAGAAGGGAAGGATAAAATGATGGGGTATTTAATGTCTTTAAGGATGTTTGTTTCGTAAATAGAAAAGAAAAGGGGAGAAGATAAGTGATGAGGTTATTAATATCTTTGAAGATTTTTAGATTATAATAAAAAAAAGAAAGAAAGGGAAAATAATTGGTGGAATTATTATCTTATATCTTTATTGTTTTATTGATATATTCATTGTTCTTTTTATCATTTGATGTTTGTTTTATCTATAAGGCAGTAGCATCACCATCCACACATATTGCCAATGGAAAGTAATCACTGTAATGTAAGTAAAAAAATAATATTTCTTAACATCACTATATCTACC